TAAATAGTGAGGTTGAGGATTCGTACTTTGCAGTGAAGGGTTTAATTTTCACTCGTGCCTTGACTTTAGCCACTAATCAGATAACCTCCTTCTAGTTAAGTCTACCCGCTTAAAGTCTATTTTGCCCTCCCTGTCCCTAAACCCCAGTGCTTTGAAAAACTCTGCGCCATCATCCTGAACTATAGGGTGAAGCCCTTTACAGAACATTATCAAGTGTTCGGCAGTTTCTTCTTCCTCTCCACACGCACTGCATACTGTGTCTACCCCTTCGTATTTGACCCGATATGTCTTGGTTCGCAATACTCCCATACTGGCCTCAAACAGTAGAGAACTACCCCGAGTATTATCATAGATCCTTTATTTGGCAATTTCCTGCTTAAAAGTTCGATAGATCTCTAGTGCGGACTTCTTAATCATGCCCATTCTCCACATGTCAGTCTCAGTTTCCTTCACTTTCTTCTTAACCGATAGTTCTTTTTGGTTTGGCCACCTGCTGTTTTCTAAGTACTTACCAGTCAACTTCCTGGTTCGCTTCCTCCATTTTGTATTGACATTCTTCATGTACAAGTAGCCGAAAACCTTCCTAGCCCAACGCTCTTTCCCCATTTCTCTCAATCGCTTCTCAAATTTTATCTTGCTGCTAGCTTCCCTGCCCTCAAATGATGTCCATCCCATGTCAACTTGTACTCCCTGATTTGGTATATTCCCGTGAGCTCCTAAAGCAAGCCTACCTATTCCACGTTGCTTAATTTCTAATCTTGCTTGAACTTCTGATCTCATGCACAAGACCGCATTGCCGAACGTCAGCCCAGGAACCATGACCCCTTTCCATATTCCTCTCACAACATCATACCTATTGTAATTCCACAGTGCCCTATTTTTCATCACTGCTGAATTCCTGTTACCTTTAGTCGTCACGTATATTTCGTGTTCCCTCAGGTACTCGGTCCCATTGCTTATCCATACGCCCAGATATTTGTATTTATCTATTATCTCTAGCGTGACCTCCTGTATTCTAAGCTCACTACCTTCGTTATTATTAAAAATCATGACTGCTGATTTTTCATTACTGAATCTAAAATCTAACCTATCTCCCTCATTACCGCAGATGTCCATAGATCTCTGCAAATCTTCCTTGTTGTCGGCCATTAGCACTATATCATCTGCGTACATTAATGCTGGTAGTGTCTGCGCAATGAGTTTTCCTTGTTTGAGTAAAGACACGTTGAAGCCAAGTCCACTTCCCTCTAATTTGGCATCTAATCCTTGTAGGTACATCATGAATAACAAGGGTGACAGTGGACACCCCTGCCTAAGTCCCCGTTTCACCTCTGTGGGCTTGGATACTTGTTTTTCCCACTTTATAACTACCTTGTTACTTTTATAGATTTCCTTTAAAAGATTAGTAACTCCATCTTCACACCCACTGTGTCTAGTGTTTCCCACAACTCTTCTTGAACCACGCTATCATACGCTCCCTTGATATCCAAAAATGCTAGCCACAGGGGCCTGAGTTCCTTTTCTGCTATTTCGATCCACTGCGTCAGTGAGAACAAATTGTCTTCCAACCGTCTTTGTTTCCGAAACCCATTCTGCAGTTCCCCCAGCACCCCCTCATCCTCTATCCATGCCTGCAGTCTTTCCTTTATAATCTGCATCGCCAGCCTGTAGACCACTGATGTCACTGTTGTAGGACGGTAGTTGTTTATGTCATCTTTGTCCCCCTTTCCTTTACAGATCATGCTCACCGGGCTAAGTTTCCATCCATCAGGGACTTCACCATCGATTATTGTTCTGCTCACTGCCTCTCTCAAAGTCTGTTTAGACTTCGGACCCAATGTCTTTATCAGCATCATTGGAATGCCATCTGGGCCTGTTGATGTACTACTTGGAACCCTCTTCTCAGCCCTTTCCCACTCTCGTTGTGAAAATGGAGCCATTGTGCCACTTGATCCGTGCCTGTCTATTGTGGTGCATAAGGCACTTATTTGTTGAAATTTTTCTGTCACCCTTGTTCTTATATATTCAATAGCTTCGTCCTCTTCTAGCCTAGCACCTTGAGCTGTGGTTATCAACCTCTGCTCTAGGTTTGTTTCATTTCTCAGGCAGTTTAGATGGTTCCATAATTTCGCAGCTGCCTTTCTGTCCTTTTTATGTACTTCTACCAGCCACTGAGCACCCTTTCTTCTAAACTTTTCATTGATCAGGAGGGATGCTTCCCTTCTAGAGCTTAGAAAGATTTCCCATTTTCTTTCAACATAATCTGTCGGTTCACCCTGTTGCTTAGCATGTCTGTGTTCCCTAGAGGCTTCCTGACGTTTTGCTATGGCTCTCTTAACTTCCTCATCCCACCAACTCTTGGGCTTGTGTCTTCTTTTCCGAGTTGACTTGTAACGTGCCTTAGCAAGCTCTAGCCCAAACAGTCTAATTAGATTTGTGTATGTCCACACATTTTTATTACTCTCAGTGATTACTTTCTCAATTTGTTTAGTAGCAACTTCTATTTGCCTTTCTGAATGAAAATTTTCCTGTAGTTGCTCATCTTGTCTCCTTCCCGCTTTCGCTGCTCTTCCAAAACTTAGCTTGATACGTTTGTGCTCACTACCAAGACTTCTGGAGCCACCTTAATCTATGTGCATTCCCCTGAGCTTATAATACATCCTATGTGACATCAGTGCACAATCTATCGTTGACTGCAGCCTTCCTACCTCCCATGTTATTTGCCGTTCACACTTCTCGGTACTGTTGCAAATGATCAAATCATGCCTTTCACACATATCCATGATCATTTTGCCTGTTGAGTCAGTATACCCATCTATATCTTCTATGTGCGCATTCATATCTCCTAGTATAATTATCTCGCACTCTCCTCCTAACTCCTGAATGTCATTTGATATACCCTCTACCATTGCCTGGTTTTCCTCTCTGGCCTTTGCTCCCGTCCACAAGTACACGAAACCAAGGAGTGTCATTTGCCCTGCCACTTTCCCTTTTAGCCATAAATGTTCCTTGCATCCCTGCTTGACTCTTTGCCAACCCATGCTCTTATGTATAAATGCACCAATTCCACGCCCCTTTTTGCTGCCTTCTGTTCTATTGCAATATTCCTATACGTAGTCCGGGTTGCAGGGTGGTTGCTCCAGGTCCCGAAAATGTGTCTCCACAACCCCATATACCATCAGCTCCTCCTGTCTCAACTGCTCTTCTATCTCTTTCTACTTTAACCTATTCCTGCCACCCTGCATGTTAATATAGCCTACGTCTGACTTAGCTCGGCCCTTGTGCTTACGTCGATTTCTTCTCTCACGGACTTCGTGTTGCTTGAATATTTGTGCCCCTTTAGGTCCGTCTTTGGCTACACTGTTGACCTCAGGGCTTTGGGTCTCCCTAAAAAAGTTTTGGCTTGGCGACCCATTCCGTTAACGACCCTCCTGCCCGTCGCACCACTGTAGTGAATGCCATCCTGTGCAAAGGGGCGAGCGCCGGGCTCGTACACGTCTTGGTTAACTTCCATTACGCTGTATCCGAGTTGCCGCCTCAAACTCTTGATCACACAATTGGCCTCTACTACCCTCCTTTCAATCCCACGAGGCTGCCCCCAGACCCCTGGGACTGTGCATATGGTCACATGCACACTCCCAGAGGCTTCTCGGAGCTTACGCATCCCATCCTCTAGCTTTCTCTGAAGGTTCTGATTCTTGCTTTTCAACACATCATTGAGCCCAGCATGAATAATGACTAGATTTTCGCCCTCCATGCTGTTTTCTACAACTTCCTGAGCTTTGGCCAGTGCATCCACCATGCTCCTCCCCGACTGTGCCTCCATCCTGACTCTCCCATCTTCCTTCACTGTCTTGAAGACGTAACCCTGGCCACGTTAGGGTCCCCCACCACTAGGACCCTTCTACGCTCCAATCGCTGGCTTCCTTTTTGTGATGGCGCCCCTGTTTGTTTCACCTGTTTCTCTCTCTGCCGTCTGTCCTGTGTTTCTGCCCTGCTTGAAGACTGCTGCGCCACCGAGCTGTATGTTCTCGGAGTCTCCGTGCTGTGGCTAGACACTGCGGCCCCCTGACCTCCCTTCTCGCCTGTTCCTTCCCGCCTCTCGCCTTCTCCGCTACCCCCGCCTTCTGTCTCACACGCTTGGGGCCGGGGTAAAGCGCCATTAGCTCCTTTACCCGCTGCTCTAGCTCGGTCCGCCCTTCCCGTTCTTTTCGAAGGTCGCCCTTCATTTGCTCTAATAGGCTGGCGGTAGCCTCCTCTCGCTCACGCGACGCTCCGAGCTCTTTTTGAAGTTCTATCCTCTGCTCCCGTTCCGCCCTAAGCTCCTCCTGAAGCCCCTTGATGCTAGCCTCCATGCGCTGCACGGCCGCCTTCAGTGCCTAGCACTGCCTGCATACGAAGCTCGCCTTCTGTGCGTCGGCCAAACTCGTCAATGCTGTCTCATTTAAGTAGTACCAGCGCTTGCATTCTTCGCACTGCACTAGCTCACTCTCGCTCGTGGTTTTCCTAGCCTCCTTAGCCATCGCCCGCCCGACCATCGGACCGAGGGCCGATAGGCCTACGTTCAACCCTAATCCAGCTATCCAGCCGCCTCCGTTAACTCTTCTACCTCAACAGCTGTTTGAAGCTGCCGCCTACACCACAGACATACGTGTTCAATTTCGCTAGTAGCCTCTCACTAGGTCCCCTTCGTGTTCGGCGCTAGCTCTTTAACAACTAACCTGGCACCCCGACCTTCTTCAAAACAGCCGCCTAGCCCGTTCACGTGGTCAACGTCACTACAACGTTGCCCGTGTCCCACACCTACAGTACTCGCAACGCTAATTATTGATTAAGAGCGAAAAAAATAATAGTGTTCACAAACACAAAGAAATGAAAAGAAACTTATCTCTCGTTGCGCGCTGCTTCTGCACCAACCGACCTTTGCACACCCTTGCACGACCTTGAATTCACCGAACAGAAGCAGAAGTGAGAAGTGCAGCGGAGGACATCTAGCGGCAACATGCGCAGTACGGATTGAGTGATAGTGGAGATAGTGCTGCTGTAACTCCAGAAGTGAAGAGGGCAGTGCGCTGGTGAATCGATTGCTGCTGCCTCGGCTCGCCAGCACCAACGACTGTTGGACGACTCTTCATTACTACTACGCGCGTGTGCCGTCAGCGCTGGGATATGATGCGATGAAGAAAGGCTAGTTTCTGTTGTTGACATTTTCCTTTAAGTGTGGCGTGTGAGCGTGGCGAAGTTGGTACTGCTTGGACCACAGCGTGCAAAAAGCACCGTCTATTTGCGCGCTAAAAACGGTAAAGTCTTTTTCGCTTTCAGATCTTGATCCGGATCTTATTTGTGAAAATATGGAATTGTATGGCGCAGATGTTCCTAAATTGATACTCTAGTGACCGCCGCTAATATTTTTGCGGCCGTCGTTAACCCTAAAAGGCCGGTTTCGTGGGAAAAGGCTCCTTTCGTGGGAATGACGCATTCATGTTCTAATTGTATCCCGATGACACGCGTAGTTGCATTTTAGGATTGCACGACTGACCTTGAGCAGGCAGCTTCGCGTAAAGATAAACATTTTGTAGCAAGTCTATCTATGGAGATGCGCGTCATTGTTGCGCAGAGCAGAGATAGCGTGCGCTCACGCTGTGCTCGTGGTGATGGCAACTTCGCCCGCATGTGGCAATCGTCACTATATTTTCGCCTTCTCCGCACCGTGATAATGCGCCGACGAGCCGGCCGTCTGTGCTTGATAAATGTTGTTAGATGTTGGCTGGCTGACACGTGGGGCGCCTGTACTGTTGTTACATGATCGGCTCGTGCCGGACCTTGATTTGTGCATGGTGCGAATGACAGGGCCTTAATTTTTTAAGTGAGCATTTCTTGTTTAGCCGTCGGATTTGTGTTTTAATCTTCCATATCTTCTCTCTTTTCCACAGCTCGGACTACCAGCTTTAATGCATCGGTGCAGGAAAATGTTGACAGCAATGACAGCAATGAATTTCAAACCGTTTTCCAAAAAGAAGAGCCCCTTGTTAACAGTGTACACTCGGAGTGTGTTGGGCTAGTAAAAGAGCTGCTGAACCACTTTATGAAGCATGAGGCCTACTGCAACTTGCCTGGCAGTGAAAACAACTTGATGTCGGGTCACCAGAAGGGCTGAAGCAAGTTTTGGAAATCGGATCCGACACTGAAAAAGAAATTCGTAACTGGGATCCCCAAGAAAAGAAGAGCTTCAGGACAAGTGCACAGGCATTTTACATTTCTACTGCGAAACATCTAATCAAGCGGCTTCCTCTGGATAACAAACTGCAAAAATGATAACAAAACATAACATAAAATGACAACAAAATGATAACAAAAATTCCAAAATGAATTCCAAACAAGGTTTCTCAGAATATTGTGAAAGCTTGTTTTGCTATGCATTTCTCGCCGTATTGGACAACCTTGAAAACTGATACCGGTTGCTCCAAACTGCTCCAAAATTGACTTTTTGGTGCTCCGAAATGCTCCATATTCTAATTTTTCGTGCTCCAAAAATTGCTCCAAATTGTGGTTCCTTAGTGGCAAAACTGACTGCTCTCTTCTTGTCTCTTAAGGTTATACCTACCATTTTTCTTTCCATTGCTCGCTGCGTCGTCCTCAATTTAAGCTGAACCCTCTTTGTAAGTCTCCAGGTTTCTGCTCCGTAGCTAAGTACCGGCAAGATACAGCTGTTATATACCTTCCTCTTGACGGATAGTGGCAATCTACCTGTCATAACTTAAGAGTGCTTGCCAAATGTGCTCCACCCCATCCTTATTCTTCTAGTTACTTCAATCTCGTGGTTCGGCTCCGCGGTTATTACCTGCACTAAGTAGACATAGTCTTTTACAACTTGAAGTGCACTATTACTTATCTCGAAGCGCTGCTCTTTTCAGAGGTTGTTGTACATTACTTTCGTTTTCTGCAGATGAATTTTAAGACCCACCTTTCTGCTCTCCTTGTCTAATTCCGTAATCATGAGTTGCAATTCATCCCCTGAGTTACTCAGCTATGCAATGTCATCGGCAAAGCGAAGGTCACTAAGGTACTCTCCATTAACTATTATCCCCAACTGTTCCCATTCTAGGCTTCTGAAAACCTTCTGTAAGCACGCGGTAAATAGCATTGGGGAGATTGTGTCCTCCTGCCTTACACCCTTGTTCATTGTTATTCTGTTGCTTTCTTTATGAAGCACTATGGCAGCAGTTGATCACGTAGATTTCTTCCAGAATGCTTATATATACTTCATCGACGCCCTGATTCCGCAGTGTCTGCATGACGGCTGATATTTCTACTGAATCAAACGTCTTCTCGTAATCTATGAAGGTTATGTGTAGTGGTTGGTTATATTCTGAGCATTTCTCTATTACCTGATTGATAGTATGAATGTGGTCGGTTGTTGAGTAGCCTGTTCGAAATCCTGCTTGTTCCTTTGGTTGATTGAATTCAAATGTTTTCTTTACTCTGTTAGCAATTACCTTTGTAAATAGCTTGTATACTACAGAGAGCAAGCTGATCGGCCTGTAATTATTCAAGTCCTTGTCATCTCATTTCTTATGTGTTAAGATGATGTTAACGTTCTTCTAAGACTGTGGTACTCTTCCCGTCAGGAGACACCTCGTAAACAGCGTGGCTAGTTTTTCTAACACAATGTGTCCTCCATCTTTCAGCAGATCTGATGTTACCTAATCCTCACCAGCAGCTTTGCCTCTTTCCATGCTCTCCAAAGCTTTTCTGACTTCTTCTATCATTACTGGTGGGGTGTCATCTGGGTTACAGCTAGTTCTTATAGTATCAAGGTCGTGGTTGTCCCGGCTACTGTACAGATCTCTGTAAAACTCCTCCGCTATTTTAACTATCCTATCCATATTGGTAGTTATTTTGCCTTCTTTGTCCCTTAATGCATACATCCGATTTTTGCCTATCACAAGTATCCTCTTCACTGCTTTGACGCTTCCTCCGTTTTTCAGAGCGTGTTCAATTCTCTCCATGTTATACCTTCTTACATCGCATACCTTACGCCTATTAATCAACTTCGAAAGCTCTGCCAGTTCTATTTTGTCTGTTGTACTTGAGACTTTCATGATTTGACACTTCTTAATGAGATTCTTCGTCTCCTGGGAAAGCTTGACCGTGTCCTGTCTAACTACCTTGCCTCCAACTTCCACTGCACAATCCGTAATGATACTCGTCAGATTATCATTCATTGCATCTACGCTAAGGTTGGTTTCCTCACTAAGAGCATAGTACCTGTTCTGAAGCGAGACTCTGAATTCCTATACTTTCCCTCTCAGTGCTAGCTCATTGATTGGCTTCTTGCGCATCAGATTCTGTCGTTCCTTCTTCAAGTCTAGGCGAATTCGAGACCGTACCATTCTATAGTCACTGCATCGTACCTTGCCAACCACTTCCACATCCTGCACGATGCCTGGGTGTGCACTCATTGTAAAGTCTATTTCGTTCTTATTTTCGCCTTTAGGGCTCGTCCATACTTGCGGTTTCATCGTTTTCGGTAGAAGGTATTTAAAAATCCGTAAATTATTGCGTTCTGCAAATTCCACTAGTAGCTCTCCTCTGGCATTTCTAGTACCGATGCCATAATCTCCTACTGTCTGGTCTCCAACCTGCTTCTTCCCTACCTTTGCGGCAACGTGTATGCGTACAACTTGGGTGAACCGGATGTACCGACTAGAAAAGAAGTACGTCTCATTCACAGAGCCGGTACAGGCGGAAACTCCCTGACTCTATACCAAGGAGGTGCGTGAATTGGTACGCGACAGTGAGGAGGAGCTATGGCAACACGCAATGAGTGAAAAAGCTACCCTCGAACTTTACCGTAACAGTGAAAGCACAATAGGCTCAGCTCGCATTTACGACAACAGCACCGGGAGTTCGTTTTTGTTCGAAACACGAGCTGGCGCGCTTCAAACCCTTAAATACAAGAGAACGATCGCCGGGGAGACGCCGATCGCGCCATGACTCCCGCGCACGGAGTCATTGCGCTCCACGCTGTGCTTTGCGGAGGAAGATGGAGAGACTGATCTGCAGGCAGTGAGAGAGTCGATGCGGCGCCTTGAACGCTGGAGGGCAGTGGTTGTGGCACTGCGGTCGAGAACACAAGGTGGCACAGTGTAATGACTAGATAGAGGCAGTGCAGTGTCAAAGCGCGGTTGTGTTAGCAAACACAAACTGAGCGCGCCCTTGTGCTTGTGCTTTCTACTAATTTCCCTACCCCTTTCTGTTTGTTCGGTTTTCTTCCCTCTTGCTGGGCATGTCCGTTGGTTTTTTGTTTTTTATTGTTTTTTACTCTTTTTTCAACGTTTTTCTTTTTATTTTTCATATCTGCGTGTTAGGGTGTCTTTACATATTGTAAGTACACCTGCCCGTTAAAAAGAGAACAGCAGCAAATCATCATCATTATCATCATCATCATAACCCATACTGGCTCCACGAAGTGGGCGAGCACCGCAATGACTGCGCGTCGCTATGAGCAGCGAGCAAGGAAGAGACGCGCGTCCGAAATTCTGTTGGTGAAAGTGGTGTGAACGCCATGGTCGACGCCGCTGTAGGCATCGCGCATTGCAGCTGTTTGAGTGCCGACAATGGCACGTCTTCCTACAGCCCAATGTGTGTTCCACACAGACGACGAGTCGCACGCTGTGCATATAACTGGTACAGCCCAACATCAAATGGCCACAAGAGGACAGATGAATAAGGGAATGGCTGTCGAAGACAGCGGATGATATCGTGCTTGTGGGCTGCACCAAAGCGTGTGGCGGGGCTCTTCAAAAAATATTGTGCATATAACGTGTATATACAATCATACCAAAACTTACGTCACGTCACGTCATCATATGATTATGATTGAGCACATGTACAGAGGATTCACGGTTTACCGGATTTAACCTCTGGAGAAACCTCCTTCATCAACAATCACTTTGTGGACATGCGGAAATTTTTTTTCGGTAGCTGAGTACATATGCGGTCCTTCGAACATGTGGTTTTTCTTTGAAGTCGCACGTGTAGCATCGTTTGCAGTTTAGAACTGGCCCTAGTCCGGGCTTTATTCCTCCTGTTTCGTTCGGCCCCTGTCCGACTTGCAACTTGCAAAAATGCAAAAAAGAAACTTGGACCATCTCCTCGAAGGAAACCCTGATATGGGATGTGAAGCAGCAGTGGTGCTCACGGGGGTTGACCCGGTTGAAACGGGGGTTGAAGTGGGTGCTGGAAAAACCATGGAGCAAGAGTACTTGAGGAGGAGAAACCCTCAGAACACGACAGCACGTGAGGGCGATGCAATAGCGTCACGGAGGCATCCTCCAAGATGGCGGGCGCGTGGCAGCGTGTTCACAGAGATGGGCGTGGCCTGCTTTTTTTCTTCGCACCGCGGCGCTTCGTATGGTCGAATATGGTCGAAAAGGCTACCGCACTGTTGGCGAAGCTCCTAAGTGGCTTTCTCAAAAAAAAAAATGGTTTTGCGCTTTTATGTATATATATTCATGCTCCTTTGGAAATGTCCGGTCAAGGAGTACGAGAGGCAAAGTCAATGCTGAGGCGTTTTATTTTACAATGGGGTTTTTATTTTGCTGTAGATTTGCGCCGCCCATATTAACCCAGTTATAATTGCGATGCCTCTGCAAGAGATCTGCATGTGCTGCAAACTTAATATACTTCGAAGTTCGCGGTCTGTATATAAGGGAGGGGGCACTGGCGAAAAAGAAAGAAAACCGACAGCCCGATCTGCAAGTGAAGTCAGAAGAGAGCCGCGTTCTACGTTCATGGATTACTTTTAACACTCGATTAAATGGGTTCTTTTTGCTTTCATAAAACTAGCGCTGCTTTTCATTGTGGCGCTGTTTCAAGAATTCTTGATTGATTGATTGATATGTGGGGTTTAACGTCCCAAAACCACTATATGATTATGAGAGACGCCGTAGTGGAGGGCTCCGGAAATTTAGACCACCTGGGGTTCTTTAACGTGCACCCAAATCTGAGCACACGGGCCTACAACATTTTCAAGAATTCTTGCAGACGCGCTGATGCAATCACAGCAGCGCTGCAACGTGGTTTTGTTGCTTCTTAGTATATAGTGTTCTTCACTTCTCATAGCGTTTCCTATTGGACGAGCAGGAGCAAGGGGAACGAATAGCCAGAGCAGCACACGGGGGCAGCGGGGACGTGTGCTCTCGTCTCTTCAATGGAACAATCACTCTGCTCCGAGAGCAGAGCTGGTAGCGGGCGTGCGTGATGTCAGGCGCCATGTAACCAATTTCTTACCGCGCCCGCATCGCTGACATGATCAGTTGTGCCATGCCGCACGCTCGCCCTCTCCGCACGCTGGTTTCCGTGCTTGCGCAGACATAAAACCAGAAGTGGCTTGCGAA